AAATACAACCCAAATAGTTACCCTAAATAGCTAGTGGTTTCTGTGTAAATGAGACACCTTTATCTGCCCCCAGTTGAAGTGCACCCCCAAAGCGGCGAAAGAAAGACAGATGGTAGTAGGTTTTTCAAGCGAGTTTTCGCATGCATTCTGCGCACGTGTATGCTACTCAGTGTCCTCCGCGTCAATGCACCATTGACCTCCACTGTAGACACGCGCCTGTGCGGTGAGTACACAAAAAACACACCCTCCTCTGCTCCGCTTGGAGCGCATTCAAACCACTGAAAAAATCAGCTGCATATAAAGCACGTCTGGTTAAAAAATTTAACTAACCTATAAGAATATCACAGAAGTGGAACCCCATTGAAAACAAACGGAAAACACCCTAGAAAACACCACATTAGCAGTGTTGTAGTCAAGTACTTTTTTCCGAGTACCAAGACACGTTGAGTACTTCGCCAGCCGAGTGCAAGTACTGGTTTCCGAGTACAAGTACTTGCACTTCCGAGTACAAGTACAAGTACTTCTAATTCCGAGTACAAGTACAAGTACTTCTAAGTACGAGTACAAATACTTCTAATTCAAAAGTAGTTTTATCTTAGATACTCTAAGACCTGCCACTGTGTAAAAGAAACACTGAATGCAGATGACATGGCTACAAGAACAAGTGATCTGGCTAGCAATGTTACGGTCACTACATGTGCGTTGCAGCAGTTGACACAACGTGCACGGCGCGGCAAAGTCTATTTTCCAGACTCAATTATTCACATGCCTGTGATTTTCTGTATGCTGGGTTCGTCGTTAGAATTTTCGGGTCCAGGAACCAGACTACCAATGCCCAAGTAAATTGCGGGACTATTCTGGAGTACCACAATATAGTTTGCGTACGTGATTGGTTAAGTACGTGCACAGACGGCGAATGGGTCGTATACGTTAATGGTCCCACGTTCGGCCTTTTCTTTGTCAGAACTGTATCGAATATCGGGTCATTGGGGCCGATATTTTTATGGCGATATTTTTTTACCTTATTTTAACGGCCGTGGTGAGTTAACTTAAAGGATTTTTTTATCGAGTACTGCTAATCAAGTACGAGTACTTTGATGCTCAAGTACAATTTTTGGATGTCGAGTTCAGAGTATTTTGTAGCCCGAGTGCAAGAACTGTAGTTCGAGTACAAGTACTTGGCGTCCGAGTACGAGTACTCTGAAACAGTACTTGAGTAGTACTTGAGTACGAGTACCGAGTACAAGTACTACAACACTGCATATTAGTTTATAATAAAAAAACGATTACTGAAACAATAAAAAATATTACACCAAATGTGAGCATCAAACTGAAATACAAATATCAAAACTACATGAATTGTGTAGTCTAATCCAAAGAGACACCATCACTGAGGTGGCATCACATTCTTCACGCTTGTGCTTAAAGTATAACGACCATTAAAAGGACTCTAGAATTATTAGTAAGCCTATTCACTTGAAAAGTACTCTTACAAATACAATATATAAAAATGCTCCTTTCAAATAAATAAGTATACACTGAGGTTGAGCTGTAACAGAAAGATGCTTCTTGGAACTCATGCAAACGAAGTACCAAGCATGCTACTGCAACTACTTCTGAATAAGGCAGTCAGGATTATGTAAGCATTTAGCTTCTAAACCTCATTGTCATGAGGACTTGAAAAATTAATGACAATGACCTAAAAAATTGTAAACGATGGTAAGCTGCCATTACGTTTCTGAGCATTTCATATATATATATTGGCTGAAACAATGCACCCCTTTGGTTCCTTGGTGGGGACAACATGAAATTCCTTCTGAACAAGCTGCACTTGTACCACATCTATAAAAATCCTAAAAAGATACTGATATGCCAAGACTATGTAGGCGTTGTCTTTAGTAGGCAATTAATATGCTATCACTGTGATTTGAAGCCACTACGAAACTACTTTGTAAATTCTCAACATTTTGGCATAACCTTCCCACCCATGAAGACCCAACCATGTTGCTATCAGTTTCCACTGAGTTGTACAAGATCTCACCTCGGTTGGCCACACTCTCCTGATTTTTTGAGTAGTAGTAAGATCGTGTTTGAGTGTGATGGGTTTGGAGTTTAATAGTAGTAGTCATCACCTCGTCCACTCATCAATTCGTTGAGCTAGAGAGAAAGGAAAAATATAGAGAGAAATTGAAAGAAAAAAAAACTGCTCATGATTCTCTCCCACCTAAAGTGGGAAGTGACTAGATACTAACCTGTGAAACCTGGTCT